TTGATATATATCAAAGGTGAAACGGCAAAATTTTCGCAATCAAAATCCCATGTCTATTTCATGAAAAATCATCCCTTCCCTTACTGTAACATTGACGCCACCTCGCGAAATACGAGCCCCCCTCTTTTCCAACCCCTGGAATACGACCCCTCCCCCTCGTTGTACTTTGTCCAACGGACGGTTGCCCCTGCTTACAGGACAAAGACAATAATAAGGTAGGAAAGTAGTATGTAACATTTATATCATCACTACAAGTAATAATAAACCAACGTCTTGGGTGCAGGGAGGGTGAGTCCCAAACCCCGGGTCTGCTTGACCCCTTGTTGTTTAGGGGCGTGACTAACTTAGAGATCGTCGACTGAGACGAAAGGCGACGATTAAGGGATTGGGATGGTCGACTTAGACGACGATAAACATACCTGTGATGCAGCTATTTTTTGATCGCCTTTTGTATCGTAGAACTGGAACACCTCTTCTATGGCTTCCATCTGAAAGAATTTTTTCTTAACTTCGGTTTCATATTTTTTCACTGCTTATTATACCTCTGGGCGGAAGTGGTGTAGTGGCAAGTGGCACGCTTACCACGCGAGCGGTCCGGGGATCAAATCCTGGGTCGTGAGTCGCCCGGGCCAACCAAGCCTTCCATCCCTCCGGGGTCGGTTAATTGGTACCAGACTTGTCTGGGAGGATAAAAAACACTGACTTGTACATCGGCTGGCCCCCGCAAGTCATTGTATAGGCCACATCGCTGCGCATCCCAAAACGGCAATGATCAACGAAAAATGGCTTATCGCTTTATTTGTTATGATATTCCGGCTGATTGCCAAAAATGAAATATCAAGGGGCAACTAGTGTAGTGGCGAAGAAGAAACGACGAGCAACATCTCAAACCTCGCAAATGGGAATTTATTTTACCCATAGTTTGGGGATGGAAGAGCTTCCACGACTGCCGTCACCGTGTCACGCCGTGTCCCTGTCCAAGCTCCTGACCAGGAAGGTCTTTCAGGGCGTGCCAAGCTTTTTCAAAACGGTCTTTTGCATGATATAGGGGCACATGCGGGAACCACAGAACCATGGTTAATTTTTCCTGAACGGCCCTCTGAATACCAGAAAAGGGGGTCCCTAGTTCGATTCCTCGTGGTGACAAATTTTTGCATTTCGAACTTGCTCAAAACGGTGTTAGCATAAACAAGGAATGCCATATTCACAATTGTCCCAATTATGAATATAGCATTCATTGTTTATGCTAACTCCGTTTTGCGCAAATTTTGAAACGTCAACTCGAAATGCAAAAATTTGTCACCACGAGGAATCGAACCAGGGACCCCCTTTTCTGGTATTCAGAGGGCCGTTAGGAAAAATTAACCATGGTTCTGTATGGCCCTATTTCATGCGAACTATTATTTGAACCCCCCCCCCAAAAAAAGACCATTCTCTGAGGCAGGCGGATAGAATCAGAGTCGCGGGGGGCACTTGGAAGCAAAGCAAAGTGTAGCGGATTCTGTCGAATCGCTTAGGCCGATGTCAGACTTTGCGAATCGCGCGATTCGCTACTAGCGATTCGCTAGCGTCCGCGTCGCGTTGCGGTACCAGCCAATTGAGTGATTCACTGGCCGCGACGCGACCGCAGACGCTAGCGAATCGCGCGATTCGCAAAGTCTGACATCGGCCTTATAATTACAGCGCCTCTTTTGAAGAACGCAAATCGTCCTCACCAGCTCAAGCACTATTTTATAGAGCATTTTCCTTTTTTGTGTCGAATTATCTTATCTAGAGCCTACAATACTAACCAGGAAAGGCATTTAACTCCCCATGGAACTTTGAATGAGACCCACATAATTGGTACTTAAAGGCATGCCCCAGGATCGCACTGGTGTGGCTCTTGCACACGAATGTGAATGTATCGGTGCCAAGTGGGCCGGCAGTGAAGAAAAAAGGAAAAGAATCCGTCGAAAACGCTCAGGTTGAGGGCTCACTCACCTTCCTAATTGGCTGTGCTAAAGGAACGAGAGACTAAGCGCGAAGAGGAGAGTATGGGGCGAGAGAGCGCATCAGATGAGAGAGCACCAGACAACGGCCTGATAAGAGAGCTCGTTCGCTGCAGCTCGAGCAGCTTACTTTGCAAGCCCAAAGCGTTCTTGTCGGTCGAATTCCGTGCACGTGAACGCCACATTTGTGATTGTCCCCTAGGGTTCTATACTTCTGACCGAAGAGAAGAGTTATAAAACCTCTGCCTGGGTTGTGCCTTTAAACGCTGATTACAAACATCTAAGTAAAACTGCAAAATGAACCTGCGAGGAAGTTGTGAGCAGTCAAAGTTGGCTCCAAGTTAAGCGTTACGTATTAACCGTGCTGGCCTCCGAGCTTTCAGAGTCGCCGTGGAGTAGTGGGAGTGCTCTCAAAATTTGCACTCCGAACAGGAAGAGGAACTTATGGCCTCCCGGTTGAATAGCGAGGGCACGATCGCAGCTATAGGTTCATATGTTAACGCTTTACTTTAGCCAACTTTGACTGCTCACAACTTCCTTGGCAGGTTCATTTTGCAGTTTTAGCTTCCATATTTGTAATCAGCGTTTGAAGCTCTATCGATATATCTGGGTCTCATTTCGAAGTTCCATGGGAATTTGAATGTCCTTCCCTGGTAAGTGGAATACGCAATATGTTTAGGCTCACAAAAAACAGGAACTGGGGAAAAGTCATTCAACAGGCTCCAAGATGAAGCTCAGAATCAGCACTCCACCTTTAGATTTTAACGAACGATATTATGCAGTCGTGCCAATTCAATGCTTGCTGATTGCTCATTCATATCGATTGATGTGCGTTCAGTCAGAATATTCATTAGAAATTCGCCGGTTTTTGTTCATCCTATAAGCTGAACAAAGTAAAGCGGTCTGATTTTTGGATAATTTAATACTGGTGATAAGAATGTAAATGAGCTTATTAGCGCTTCCACTAGCAATTGAATGCCCGCAGAAGTGCCAGACAGTAGACCCACACCACCTACATACTACACAGGGGGGGGGGCCAAAAAGAACATTTTGCCCAGGTTCGGCCGTTTTTTATTCGCAGAGGATTGCCCACCATGTTTCCGGGGCAAATTTTCTGATGCCGTCCACGTAGATGGCCACTATGAAGATTTTCTTATGAAATGAAATGCGCTCTTCAATTCTAAGTTGGGAGCACACGCTTTGAGCTGAGCAAAGTGTGATTAAATCCATTTGAGTCTGGAGACAAAATGTCTTTTTTATTGCCCCTGTCTTTGTTCTGTTGCGTTTCATAAACTGTCTGTGATTGAACGGTCGCAATCTTTAGCACATTACGGACCGCGTGCTGCACCATGTGCACTCAGAGAAGCGGCAGTTAGGGCTTGATTTGTTTAGCCTTTTTGGCCTATTTTGTTACATTCGACAACCATCAGCTGAGCCTTTTTCGACAAGGGGGCTAGCTCGCCCTTCCCTCACGACGGTCACTTCGTTGAGCTGAGTTGCTTACTCAGTGAGAAGACTATCAGAAATGTGCGGGTCAAGAATTTCATAGAGGTTTCTTTTTCTTCTCTGTTTTCTCTCTCTTTTTTTTGCAAAAAAGAACAACTAGAACCAACGATTTGGTTAATTCAAATATTTAATTTGATTCCTGAGTGGTAGTTGAATTCGTGACGCATCCTATGAGAGAATCTTCAGCGGCAAACACGCCGGCTTTGTAAGCACGGCGAACCAAGACACTTTGGTCTGGGCCAGTGACAATCGTCGAAGATTTGTTGACGTCTCGCCGAAATTTTTCGCCTGTTCAGTCAAGCTCTCCGGCAGCGGACATTCACCCTCGACGCCTTTCTCATACAGCACCGAGCCATTGTCGAGGAATACCTCGACCGTTATTCACCCTAGCCTAGACTCGGTACGCACGTTCACACTTTGTTGTCTGCACGGGCCTGTCCTAACAAGGGAGGTCGTTTCAGGGTGTGCCAAGCTTTTTCAAAACGGTCTTTTGCATGATATAGAGGAACCACAGAACCATGGTTAATTTTTCCTGAACGGCCCTCTGAATACCAGAAAAGGGGGTCCCTAGTCACACCTTTTTCACCAGTTTTTCAATCAAAGTCTATTTGTAAGGGTTACTGACGGTCCTAATCATGAATATGGTACTAATTATTCATGCTAACTCCATTTTGCGCGAATTTTGAAACGTCAACTCGAAATGCAAAAATTTGTCACCACGAGGAATCGAACTAGGGACCCCTTTTCTGGTATTCAGAGGGCCGTTCAGGAAAAATGAACCATGCTTCTGTGGTCCCCATATGTGCCCCAATGTCATGCAAGAAACCATTTTGAAAAAGCTTGGCACACCCTGAACGACCTCCCTTGTAAGTGCAGTATTAATACGTGACATCATGTGGCATCACGTAGCATCGACAGTATCAATAGCCCGCGTGACAACGACTGGCCGGTTTTGAGACTCAGGTTAGGTCGTCGCAAAGTTTGCACCCTCAGAAAATCGACTATAGTTTTTTCCTTGCGGCAATTGAATACTCAAATTGAAAGCTGATTGGTGTTGGTACGTCGTAAAAGTCAGAGCTCGTATAAAAATAATGGGGATATTAATTTTTTTCTGAGGAGCGCTATGCATCTCAAATAAACCCGGAACTACATATAAGCTTTGCAGAGCATTAGCCTAGGCAATATCAGTTAGTGAACCAGCAACGTAAATCGACCTCTGTTATCTTGCCGAGCGTCTAGGTACCAAGCTGACACAGCTCTAGAGGCAGAGCAGCGCCTGGTGGACTGTGTATAGCTCCTTGATTGCACCCCTGTAGACCGGAGACAGCAAACCTCGCTTTCACCTCTTACCCCATCACATCGGCCTAATGAGCTCAATGCTTTCTACCCTTGAAAGCACGCTCCGGGATGCGGCGCACTCGCCTGTTCCATCCCGGAGGTAATACACAGGCGGACAAGCGCATATATCCTGCACCTATTGACGCTTGAAAGTAGGCGAAGAAAGAGTCGTCCACGCCGAAAAAACACACCTTCGTCTGCCAAGCCTACACTTTCGCTATCGTCTCCGCACGGGGCAGTTAAACCGGTGGTTTCGGTTTGTTTTCTTTCTCTTTTCCAACCCACCTCCCATCCATAGCTTCATAACTGGACGCTTTTCCGTTTATGCCAAACCTTGCCTTTAACCTCCCGGAAAGGCCACATCCAGAGTCAGCAGCTCCCACAGTGGCGGCAAATGATTTTGCGAACAGGGTCGGTCCTATCGTTGCTACTTTTCGAAAATTTTTTACGACCCCCCTCCCCCAAGGTGGATTTGATACGACCCCCTTTTCCCTACCTCCACCATCTCCATCTTCCATCAAAACCCCGCCCACTTTTTCCTCCAAAAATGCCGTCGAGCGGGGGGGTATATAGTCACTCTGAAACGGTAAATATCTCCCGAAAATTTCCTTTCTATTTCCACCATTTCAATCCATTTTGGAACGGCAAAATTTTCTCCCGCGCCGCTCCCCACTCATCACATGCAACTTCTTACAACCGAAGCAAGTACGACCCCCCCTCTACAAACTCATCAAAATACGACCCCCGTTGCTACTTGTAGCAACATAGGGTTTGACCCTGTGCGAACGGTTTTCGTACCAAACAATGTTTTCTTCTAGAAAAGTCTTGAGATTATTGACGATTTTCTTCAAGTGCCTCGCGGAATACTTAGAGTTATGGCTCAAAAAGGCAAGAAGACGCAACATATCAAGGCTTGTAAGGGAAATGGTGGATGGGAGAAAGTTAGATGAAATACTGTTTCGGCGATGAATTTCGACCGTTCTTTGTGTAGTGTCCCGCTTCATCTCGACTCATCTCTATGATTACTGTATAATAATTGTAAATCGAAAAAACTCACAACTGCGGTTGGGTCTTCCGGCATTTCTAAACAAACGACGACGGCAGCGGCGGCAGTACAGTCGGCAGTGTTGTATGTATGAAGAAGCCGTCCCCGGAAGATGTGGAGGCGGCGAACGACGAGTCATCGGCGCAGCGAATCCGCCTGTGCATCACAAATGAAACAGAAATATGATTGACTCACTGCGATACATCACTGACATCACAATACTGTATAGCTGTTTGTTTCGCCCAGGGCTACAGAAATGGCACCACATTTTGCTAGCAAGCTCGGCTTTATCGGTACTGCGGTTCGTTTTCTCAAGTGCCGTGTAAGTCTCAACATCCTGACTCCCATTCCCTGTCTTGAGGTTTACGCCACAAACTGGGACATAGAAGATGTATTCATTGACTTGTTTTGATTAGTGGTATTCCATTTCAGGATAAGCCACGAACCCTACTTCCATCCAGAGTCATAGTGGTATGTTGCTGCAATTTGTCCTGTACAATAATGTGCAGGGTCAACGAATGCAGAGGATAGTATTTCATGCTTCCGAACCAATCCTTTTGGTGTTAATTAAGCAGATATGAGCAAAATTGAAGCCGGGATTTGGACCTCATAAGGACCTAATATGCCGCGAATATATTCCAAGCGGTGCTGCTTGTCATTAGGTTAACTCCGTTTGGTCAAAAAGGGAGTGAAAGGCATCTCGGAAAGGTCCCGTGAGCGGTATTGCTTAAAGGAATTGTCCAGGAAAAACGGTCTATTCTATGTCCCCCATGAATTACTGGCTTGAGACCTATCTTTCACGATACGAACGAAAAGAACAAAAAAATGTTTTTGTTTTCATAAACAATGAAAAACCCGAAGGACTGTTACGCGTTCAAATTCCCGCCGTACATCTGTCACAAATGTGGCGACGGAATGATTCCACTTGGTTCTCGGAGTGCCTTCACTATAAATTCTTTTTGGCTTTTCCACCTCTGACAATCACGCTTCTCCTTTCTGCTGCATCCTAATCTTTCGATCGTTTGTCTATTTCTTCGGAATTTGGATGAACCCTATTCCTTCAATGTGTTGCCTGTCTAATACGTGGCTGCC